TCATATCAAAAGTTGCAGAAACTGTGACTACTTACTGAGTCTCTGTTCCCAGGAGCATCTCCACCTTCTCTCCTGCATGGTTACTGAGGACAGCTAATCTGAAGAGGTGAGCTGCAGAGCTCTGCCGTGAGTAGAGCATAGCTGAAGTGTTCTTTACAGGAGAAGAATTCAGGTCCTCGCTGTCACATTGTTCTACCAAGAGCTGGTCTCTTAAAGAATAATCTGTGACATTATAACTCTCTTCACTGCAAAACAAAGGAGAGAAGAAAACCCCCACAGAAGTTCAGCGTTGGTAATTTTCCATTAAATTTGTCTGCAGCAAATTCAGTAATAGAATACACTTTTAACTATAAAACGTGACACCATATTTCTGACATTTCATCTTTTTAATTTTTTTTTTTTTTTTTTTTGAAACAACCTACTTTCAAAGATACAAAATAGATCATTCTTTTAGCCCTATGGAATTTCATTTAGAGGCACACCATTAAATGACTTTGGCATTACTGAGATGATGTAAGCTCAACCTACTCCAGTAAATTTGAAAACAGGCACAACAATTGTATACAACTGTGTATCGCTTTCTTCTGTAACTTCAGATGAATGATAGACCTTCATGTTTTATAAACAAAATACAATTTTCCCTCTTCCTCTGCTTGTGAAAAATATGAATACTGCTTATAGATAAAGCACTATCGATTGTGATTTTAAATACAGGATAATCTTTTCCTATACTCCTCGCCAATCTGCATGCGCAAGGTCTACATTGAAAGCTATTTCACAGGGTTCTGAAATTAATTACATTAATTATGAGTTTTAAAAATGGGCAGATTCTTGTCACACCCTATCCGTTTGCAAAATACACTGTATAAATTACCTTTTAAAAGTCTTCCCCCACACACACACACATATTTTGTAAATAAATATATCAACCCTAAGTGATATGAAGAAAGACTGCTACATGTGCTCTACTAATTTCCCCAAGGCTATTAGAAAGAATGCTCTGATAAGATGCAAGTTAAATCTTTGCGTTCCTTATACTGGAAATACAGCTGGAGAGCGCGGACAAAATTTGTCTTAGCTGACGATACCACGCTTAAGACAAAGAATAGAAGACCTCAGAGCTTCTTTTTGTCATGCTGAACTATGCCAAAAAGACATTAAGGTAATTTTCCCACGTAGCTGAAAGCATGCACGTGAGCAGGCTTGACGCTCTGGGCAGCAGTGGGCACACACACACACATTAGACGTCAGAGAACCAAAGTACGAGGCACCAGTAACTTGTGAAGTACTCCTGAGCAGATGCTCATATTTGTATCCTGCACTGGTTTTGCTTAGGCTTCTAAAAGTGGAGAAGCAGAGAGAAGCAATGAAAATTAAGTTTTCAACAAGCCCGTTTCTGTAAGTGACCAATTTCAACATACGGATTTAAATGAAAATATGCACTCTTCCCTAAACAACAGCCTTTTTTATTTCTACATGTGAGGTCTCAAATCATTTTAGCTAATCAAGATTTTCTGAGTCAGCTAAAGTTGCAGCACAGGCAGGAGAACATCCAGACAAGGCTCACTTATTTACAAAGGTGCTACATGCTAGCAGTGAACGATTACTTCGGTCCTCCCTTTCTTCAATCCATTTAGATTCATCTATGGCAAGATGTGTTTCCACTACAAAATATCCAGCACCTTCAGCAGCATTCTTCAGCACGCTAATAGGAGTTCAACCAGTTACAATGTTTACTGGTTTTGTTATTTATTCATATCTAAAGCAATACTGGAAACAATGTTTTCAAGGGGAAAATAACTGTGCATTTTCAAATCTTTAAATTGCAATTAAACTTTAAACCTTGACATTACTGAAATACAGTTTAACAGAATGTGCACCAAATATTGAAGAAATGAAATTGTTCAACAAAGAAAAATTAAGCTACATGAAGGAGCTTTTTTGTTTCTACTTTGCAAATTTCCCATAATTGTTTTGCATGTATTTGCAAGTTTATCAGGATGCATCATCAACACAGACCAATTCCCTCAGTTTCATGTAAGCCTGTAAACGTTTTCAGATTAATTGTCCTACGTTGGTGCAACAGGAAAAGAGAGAAAAAAAATATCCTGCTTACACAAGCATAAAATCAATTCTCTCCCCTAGCCCACACATTGCTCGGATTTTCAAATTTTGCAGTAATTTCTCTTTTAACTGTAGGTAATAAGAATAGCATTTGTTGCCAAGGTAAATCCACTTGTGTCTTCTAAATACAAGACAATTACATCGTTATCTGAGCTTACTTAACTTATGGGCAAAAGCTTATGAAGAAGATCTCAATAGGAGACAAGAATAAACATGATTTTCAAAATGTTTCCATTACATTTCATTTTTATTTCATATTTTAAAATAAATCAAATGTTGCACTGCAACGATAAACATACTCCAGCTGAAGCAAAATCTATTTAGGTCTCTATCGGAAATGATGAAAACCTATGCTTGAGCCTCAGATTACGGTGGTTCATTAAAATATTTTAACTTAAATAAAAATAATGCTTGAGAAGATCAGTTTCGCTGCACCGAAATCCTAAACACCTGGAATTAAAGTCTGCTGGAATGCTAATGATGACATACACCTCTTCTGGCAGGTGCAAATGAAGCATATTCTTCTTTTATGCTGGTCAACTATTATTAGCAATGGACAAATGACGACCGTCTGTTGAGATACAGTCTACCCATTTTGCTTACTGACAGGAAAAATACCTGTGAATACCTCAGTATTTAATATAATGGTATTTATAATTCTTATTTTTATTCTTTAGAAAAAGAATTGCCAAAATAAAACTTATCAACATTATGACTCAAAACCTTAGTTATTACTGATGTCTGAGACTCAAAACATTGGAAAAATTCTTGTACTCCTCAAGTGGTGATAGGTTTGCAAATTGTATTTGTGGATTAATAGCTTCTACCAGTGCATCTGGTATAAGAACCAATAAAGTTCTTATTTCAACTCTGTGGAATATGTTTTTATTTTTATTTTGTGAGATAAACACTTGTAATTGATTTTTTAATTATAGCTTCGTACATTCCCAAATGATCAACAAAGTTCCATTAGTATTACATTCTAATCCTCCTAGGAAGTATTTTGGTTTTGTTCTCGCCTTTTGTTGAGGGGTTTGGGGACACATTGCTATTGTCAGCTACGCATCAATTCACAAGCGGTATTTACACTCTCCAATAGAAGATGGTAGGCTGTAACTCTACAAATCTTATCTCCATCCAACAAAATAGTCTGATTGAAATCAAAATAGTCTGATCGAAATAACAGAAGTTTTGGGTTTTTTTTTTTTTTTTTATGAGTAACATTTAACGCATTCTTAAAAATTATTATAATCAGATAATACAAAGATGCCAATACTCATTTTCAGTTTAAGGCTGTATTTTACTAAACTTTTATTTAGGTTCAGAGCCCAGAACAAGAAGATCATTTGACACCTCTTAACACAGAGCGCATGCAAATTTTATAACGCTATATCATCATCCGTTCTAGGCTGCCTATACATCAATATACAGCACATACTCACTCCTTTCCTATTTCCTTTATCATCTACATTTAAAAAAATAAAGGGCAATCAAATCTTCTTCAGTAAGAACTAATTATAGCTGCAGATGCTGTGCTACTTTGAAATTCTCTGTGTTTCATAAAAATTACTCGTTGCTGCCTTGAATTATTAGATTATTTCTGGCATCTGGAGGAAATACCCAGTTTTGCAAGCGGTTGTGAACAGGTAACATTCCAAAGTATTATTTAACCTTTAGGTGATTCCCAGTGTATGAAGTCCAGCTGCATTCCACTGTCAAGATACTCCCAGGACCTGACAAGCCATACAGCCATTACAACAGACAGGATTCTAGTGATATCCTTAGGGGATTATGGAAAACAAAACAGAACATTCAATAAACGCACACTCATACAAAAATAAAAGTCTCTTTGCGGTTTAGTCTGAAACCACTCCGAACAGAAGTGGTGAATTTTCTGAATATTGTACCTATCAAAACTTTATCAGTTCTAGAGTTCTCGAACTCTGCAGAATACAGAGCCAACTCATAGGCAGCTTTGAGCATTAACAACTAAAACATGTAACCTGAACTCCATGGTCCCAGGAGGGTACTTGGAAAAAAGGAGATACCTGATTTTTTGGTAAATTTCAAAGCTGAGCTGCCCCCTGGTCTTAGCAGAACACCATTACAGGGTAAGCTTCCAAGCCTGCAACAGGTATCAGAGCTTCCTCGGCAGCCTGATCCTCTTCTAATCCCCTTGGGCTGCTGGAAGTGTTCACTATAGATACTGTATAGGCATGGCAACAGACCAATACATACCTAAGCCCAGCAACGATGCTCATCAACTGTACAGGAGAGGTATGGGAAAAATAGTACTTTTATCCATATTTGTGGTTTAGAAGAAGGAGATGGCCCTGAAGCATTATTATGAAGGAAATCTATATATTACTTTTATGTTTGTATGTATTTAAACTGAATACCCTATATTTCTATAAAGTACTAACATCATTGTACTCTGTGGAACTTGAAATATTATATAAATTTTTCACAAGTCCAAACGAAAGCAAGTTTCCCAAACATGGCCCATGTAATAACACTCCTTTTCCAGTCTACCTGAATTGTCAGGAAGCCTGAAAAAACAACTCTAAGATATTAACTATATTGCATGTTATTCCTCATGTCAGAACACTACCTTCAAAATCCAACAATGACCCTTCTACGTCAACATAAACTACCGGTTTACTGGTCTGTGTAATGGATGCCACGGCCAAAACGGTGGCAATTCATAGCAATTCACAGCAGAGAGGTAAATAAAAAAGAACAAAAGCCAAAACGGAGCAAAGAAGTATGGAAGTAGAGAACGAAAAACAAAAGAGTAAAACCAGTGATGTTTCAGCAACACTACCACAAAGCTGAATAAAGAATAATGAAATAATTAGGTCATCTAAAAATCATAATCTACTCTTAGATCTCTGCAGAGCATTTACAACGTTTCACTTCACAGGCCTAAGTTAACCTCCCAAAGCTACCCAAAGTAGTCAGATAAAGAAAGATGCTCTTCTAGAAGCCAATTCAGACAAGATAACTCAAGGTCCTTCCCAGGGAACCCGCCTTCTCCACTGACTGCACGCGTAAGCTAGGAAGACGACCCAGACACTGAAAAGTTGAGCAGTCTGAGCATCACCCAGCTCTTTGCTTCATGCCAGGATCCAAATGACATCTGTGTTCCTATAACAAGAATTAGCTAATGCCCTCCTATGCACCAACTATATTAAAAGTGGAATCTGGGACTTTCCACCAAGATTCGGACATCCTGATCCACACTAGTATTGATTATTCTTTTTGAGGGAATGCATTTAAGTTTGTATTGTAAAAAAATATTTTAACATTAGAAAACGCAGATGGTGGCTACACTACAGAAGACACTACAAGAAAGATACTCCTACTGGAAAATATTCCCAATAAAAGCTGAGGAATGGGGAAAGGCAGGGATTTTTATTTGTTCTCCAAAATTCTACGTAGAAAGACATAGGTCACAACTTCATGTGTCCCTTTTTCTGCTAATCCCCATGGCCATCTTGAGTATTATTCAGCAGCTGTTTGCCCCACTTCTTCAATGAACAAGCGTGATGAGGCAACTGGCTATCCTGTCGCTTTATAGCATAAAAATCAGAGACTAAATGATGTACATCTACAATGTACATCTACAATGCAGACGTAGGTGTAGTATGCTTACATAAAGATGGACTGTCCAGCAGCAGACATTGAAAGCATAAGCCTGTAACATATTTTACAGTTGCAAGAAGACAGAGCCCCAGCGTTCATTAAAAAGGAAGTGATTTTTGGTAACTAAATTCCATTTAACCTACTTAATAGAGCAGAAAAGATAGTTACAATTTCAATCAAAAGGTGGAAATGTAGCTAGCTACATTAAACATAAAAACTCTGCGGAACAAGCCTAAGTACACAGCATCACAAGGCTTCCCTTTATGTTTTCATAGCTAAAATGTAGTAATTCTCATTATAAAAAGGTCTCTGGAATGCTTGTTTGTGACAGTATTTATAATACAGTAGTTCTCATCATGCTTCTGATACTTGGAAATTGTTCTTTGCATGAGCGTGTAAATAGTGATGCACACCACATCTTGGCTGGGCTAGAATTATTTATCAGTTATCAACACGACTACTTGGACACATAACCATCAAGCCTGGCCTTTAATAAATTTGGATCGAGCCATTCCTGATTCTGTGAGCTAAGTTCCACAAATCTGGCAAACTGCTCAGACAGAAGAGCTGAAAATAATTGTTTTGATAAAGGGTAAAGCTGTGCGATTGGAACACTAGCTAATCAGTACTTTTAGCACAGTACTGAGGAGTGAGGTTTTTTTTTTTTTGGTGCAATGATAAAAATCTTCTGAAAAAGCAACCGCTCAAGTGAAAATACAAACATTTAAACTCAACTAGCAACAAATATTTCTCCCCATTGCTGTAGAGGCCACACTGTGGATGGGAGAACATATCACCAAAAAATTCAAATATTATTAGTAAGCTTATTCACTTGGGCACCGCATATGCTTCATACTCAGTATCTGGGAAGGTTGCAGAAATCAATCCTTCCTGATTGTGTCTGTTTGTTCAGAGGGTCTTGGTACAGTGAATACATAAATCCCATCATTAACACTGAGTTTTCTTTAACTTTAACTTCTGGGCCCTTTAAGACGTTAGCAATTCCAACAGCTGGAAGTTGTTACAAATCAAGAGCATCGAAGTTTGGATAGGGTACATTGTTATAAATATCTTGCTTATAATCTGGACAACAAGCCATCACATAGGAAACCAGTAAACAATGTAACAACACAGATAATAGGTTTTTCATTGTTTTCTCAACTCAAACATTTACTTAGCTACCAACACAACAATATATTAATGTTAGTTCCATGAGAAAAGAAACGCAGTGTTTAAAATCGCGTGATACAACTCTGTGATGTGCTGCCAGTGTTATAACAAGGGACTTCCAAAAACATTTCTCCATAAACTTTGATAAACACTGACTCTCAGGAACATGTTCACAGCAATAAGGGATGTGGGGAGAAGTCTGTTCACTTTTCTTTCCATCTGCACAAAAATACTTTCACTTAAAGCTAAACAAAAATGGAGAAAATAATTTATATTTCTTTTCACTCAAACATTAACATTTTCTTCCTAGATTTTATTATTCTACCTTATTCCTCAACATTTCCGATTTAAGTTATGGCATCAAAGTTTCACAGAAGGGAGTCTTTTAAAAATAGCTATTTTCACTTCACTGATCAATCCAAAAGCAATATAATTGCTCTTCAAAACTATTTTTGGCCTCCGGAATAAGGTTCATCTGTCAGATACTATCAATAGCACCAACGGAAGATGTCAATTTCAGTAAATTATTCTGACCCTCCCCTCAAATCTAGTGATAAAAATTTAAATGGAGACTATTAGCAGTAGTCTCTAATACGTCATTCTCAATAACAGTTCAGCCAGGGAGAGAGCAGGGAGGAGAAACTACTGCTAGAAATCACTACTTTTATATCCTCTTAGAACTTCTCCCTTTGCTAAAGGATCAAGGATGGATTTCTTAATTTGTTTGACAATTTAGAATTTCAATTCAGTTTGCCAAAAATAAATCCCGTTTAACAAGTGGTTACTTGTCATTTCTAAACACAATCTGATAGAGCAATATTAGAAACTCAAATACCTTCATAATTTATTTAAGATACAGTATATTAAAACCTATTATAAAAACAGTTTATTATAAGAACAGTTGACTGTACCTAAAACATGCTCAGTCCATCTTTCTACCTGTGTTATGCGGCAAACGGACCAAATCCATTTACTTCTCTTTGAATCTCCTTCATTTTTTCAAACAAGCAAATGGCTAGAAAACATGTAAAAATGCTGTGGAGGCAATAAGCTCTTCTTGAGGAAATACTGAACAACAGAGTTTGCCTTTCCAAAGCCAGGAAGTTTAGGTTCTCATTTCCCCCAGAGTGATGCATACAACAGTCGTGATAATTTTGAGAGACAGCTATAACTCAGCTATTCTCTCTGTGATTCAAGGAGCTGAATACAAAGGCAGTTTTACACTGGTGAAGTTCTTACCTCTTCTTCTTGGTGATAATGAGGACATCATTAAAGAGGAAGAAGTACACCTGTTGCTTGGAAGTTCTTTTAGAGAAAAGTCCAGTGTCTTCTACATAAGCTGTTAACTCACCCCTTTTCACTAACCATCGCGAAGAGGAAACCAATGGAAATGGCTATAAAGGAAGAAAATAACATTTTAGTCCCCCAAAGCTAGGATTTTTTTTTAATCAGATATCAGAGTACTAAAGGTCTGGAAAAAATGCTTGAATAAACTCAGAAATCTTGAGTACAAGCACAGAACAGAGATACCAAGATTTAAGTTTATATAATAGACTATTAAGTAACAGTCCACAAAAATTTGAAAAAAATCACTCTTCCTACTCACGACCTAATTGCTTATCTGAGCTAAAAAAAACAAACAGACAAATTATGGAGACAGACTACAAGACCAGATCGGTCCTAATAAAGGATCCATCCTGTATAATTCCATAGAAAGACCCTCTGTTTTTCTGGGCCATGAATCTCTCCCTTTCTAGAGAGAGATTTTCTTCTTTAAAACAGATCGAGACTGGTGATGCAACAAACAGATCATGTCTGAAGCTGTACCACGACACGTGATGCCAGAAAAACAAAGGTCCATTTGCAGTGCTGGCAACTCTGCCAATTCCCAAGACTCCTCAGTCACTGACCTCGCTGACTGCTGCTAGCACGGAGCTGTTACGCGAGGAGGTTTATGCAGTGCCACACAGCGGGCAGGTCCCTTTTGATAGACCAATTCTGTGCTGCTGTCACTAGACGGCAAGAGTACTGTACAGAGAGACTGACCTCCTCCTCCATAGCTCTCAGCCCTGAACTCTATGATGACCTGTTTGGGTCCTAACTTAAACAGTGAGAACGTTGGTACTTTTTTCCTCTGACACCTTTGGGTATCGCACACATGCGGGATGGAGCATCTGCAGATGCCCGGTACCCTCCTCCTCCGGTTCCAAAACGGATTAGACTCATTGGGCAACTTCTGCGAGTGAGGCCTGAGCTCAGCTACCTCTAACTTGCAGGTTCTCAAACCGAAGGTACATGATATCTATCACTGGAAAAGAGAGGCATCCACTCTGACCACAATTTGTGCCTAAGACCTGTATCGCAGTCAATGGGCACTTACTGTTAAATTTTATGGGGCACACATATTTTTTCTTCATTCCGAGGACAATAATCAAATTTTTGTTTCTACCTTACACATGACTTCTTGCTTACCAGATTTCTGTACTTATTTTGTTTCAGTTCAAATTCATCTCTCTCATCGTGATTAGACTAATAAAGACAACTGCTTTTTTCTCATTTAAACCACCTTTCACATGCTCTTAAAATATTTCTGCATTTGGCTTGTCAGCTGTCTTAATCATTCTTCTGACACTCCTTTATCACTTTAGTTGCCCTTTACTAAACTGACTTCAGTTTGTCAATACTTGGCCCATAGTACTATGCCAAAACCAAAACACAGTACTTCAACCGTGACCTCACCGGCAGAACGACAAAATATTAACTCCCTAGCTTTCTATGCAGCCATTCCCTTGCTTCTGAGCTTTGAAGCCTGATTTTATGGTGACGCTGAAATAGCAAACAACAATACCATTATTCACAAGATGCTTTTTCTGCCCCCATGTAATACCAGAGCCAACACAAAAGGCTGGACCAAATTCCTGGCACCCTCTTCTTCCTGCTTTCTATTAGGAGGTAAATGAATGACAGATGAGGATTGCTCAAAAATTACAGAACTGTATTAGCCCTTCAGAAACATTGCAAATTATCTCCACTATATCCAGAATAGGCCTGATGATTGTCCACCTTCACTTGGGTCTTGAACAAAGATACCCACTGGAACAAAACTTTTGCTATACTTATAGACCGACACTCGCGACCTTTCAAAACCTGCATTATTTCAAAGTGGCTACTTACAAATACCAACATATTTCATTATCTGCCATAATTCCTAGTATTTGTGCTTTTATGCTATCAAGCTCATGTTATTCTATTGAATCTTGATCAAACTCCCTTCAGATATTTCTGCCCCATTATCTAAGCTCACACATTCTTTTTCAGTTTATACAAACGTTATTGAACGCTTCTAGTTTTGTATTATCCATTAGTTTATTAAACTCCTTTTTCTGCAACACTCTCCAGTTTAGAAATGCAGAATTTAGTTTCAAATCTGTATTTCATAAACAGATGTTTTTCCAAGCCCCTGTTAGTGAATCAGAGTAAAATCAAACTGGTTATACAACAGTGCAATTTCAAGTCAAATTCATAACTTTAATTGCCATTCTCACTCATCTCAGACCAGCAGCTAACACAGACTTCTACCTATACGATTTACTTTTTCCCAAGAACGCACCTAGATAACTTACTTTTTTCTAAGAATGTATCGTATCATTTTTCTTATCGGCAGTTATTTTATTAAAGATGCATCATTAAACCTCACAGGTTATGAAAGGCCTAAAATTTAGATCAGTATTCAGAGATGAAACTCTCAAAAGAGCTCCCTAGTGAACTCTTTGGCAGAACTCCTAAGTTCCGTCACCAAAATCAAAGCATGTAATTTTCAGTTTTATAACAGCATTTGGCTTAAAAAAAAAAAAATAAATAAATTTGGCTTACTTTGAACCCAAACTCAGGTGGTTCAGCCAGGACCTTAAAATGATGTGAAATTCAAGGGTTTTTTTAATAGCTTATTTCCATATGCAAGTACGAAATATCAGGCCATATTCTGATGTGCCGTCATGTTTTTTAAGACTTTATAAAATTGAAGGATTTGGGGCTAGATGGTTCTCAAACAGAGGGATCACAAAGGAGTTTGGTTCTCAAACACAAAAGCACGTTTGCAGAAAAAAACACTTTTCTGGTGCTACAGATGAAAACTTTAAGAATAAAAACCTCTGAACCCTAATTAAAAAATAAAGTCCTACAGATAAAATATGTGCAGAAGTGACAGGATTTCTGAGCAGCTTCTTTTGTGTTTCCCTGTAAGGCTATAACGTTTACAACTACCAAAATAAACAAAAATCCCAAAACACTGTATGAGGTTGAGCAAGTAGAGAAATGCTTTACTTAATTTAGAACGCTGATAAAACAGAATTATAGCACCACGATGACTGTTTTATAGTCAAAAAGTACTTAATTTTTTTTTAATTTGTGCATGAACTAGAAACGCCTCTAATCTGTATTCCAAATGAGTTCATCACATTTTCCTAACTGACTATATTCCAGAAGCAGCTGGCTTCTACTTCAATATTAATTTTCCTTAATTGCCAAAGAGTACAACATGCATATCATCTCTTTCCTATATAAAACAAGCTGTCTGAACTTAAAATGTATTGAAACGTGGCCAAAGCAGTCTTTTATACTCCAGCTGGCAAGCTCTCAAACCACAGATAAGGTCTAAACCACTAAGAATTTATATCTAAGATATACAAAGTAGAAAAGCTCGCGTAAAAATAATAGAGTAACAAAGTTGCCACTATTCCCATGAAACTAGTAAGAGCACATACAGCAGAAGAACTATACAGTGCATCTTATTTTTGCCAAATTAGGATCAATAGCCTGCCTCCTCTTCCCATCGGGAGGATAAGAGGCTTTAGCCATTTAATAAACTTAGTTCCTTTAAAAACTCTTAGGGCTTTATGTAGGTTTGAAAACTATGAATGAATCCAAGTAGATCATCGAAAGACAATTTAAAACTCTGTTTTAAACTACCCAAAGACTTGCGATATTATCCACAGCAGTTAGCAGATGTAGTGATGACGCTCGTTAAGAGATCATTTATTCTTGTTGTTATAAGTAAATATTATTATTATTCTCAGTTTTTACTCAAAGTATGTAAATAAAAACACTTTGGAAAAGTTGACAAGCATCTCTAAAGAGAGTATTTCCTCAAAGCAAGACAGACCAAGATCCTTTAAGAACTGTTTTCAAAACTATAAACCACTATGTACTGCAAGTATAATAATTTAAATAAACAAACAAAAAAAATCTTCGCACAGACAGATACTCCTTAGGTAATGGTATCAGTCAGTATTTACAGAAATGTGCTAGGGCGCAAATGCTCAATCAGCTCAGAATTTTTATTGCTTTTATTTCAGCTGAAATAACTAAACAGACCTTTCTGAAGGCAGAATTAACATGGGCAGAAAAGAAAAACTAATTCAATACATATTAAAAAACCTTTTTGCCATAACATAACCTTTGTTATTTAAAATGAAAATACTTCACAGGGAAAGTTAATTTGTATCCTGCCACAACAGGCAATTTTGCTGCAAGAATTAGTGTGTGTGTGACTAGTGTGTGATATAAATATTAAGTTATACTGTTTACCATACCAAAAAAATTACAAATACTAATTCATGTTTAAAAGAAACATACCATTCTCTCCTCAACTTCAGTCATAAGTCTTAGCAAAACTTGAGAATTATCTGCAGCTTAGCAAGAAAAGGCAATTCACGTTTAATGAAAATTTATTGGAATCTGCTTACATACTACCAGATAATAATCTGAAGCGAGAAACAAAACTGCTTCACAATGCAAGTACCCGACGCTTCAGAAGTTACCTCGTAGGAGTCGAGGTATCTAATGCCTTTCAAACCACACCACTAGTGAAGCAGCCTGTACAAGTTCTGCACGTGAAAGTCCCGGTCCAAGGAGTTTTAGATCTTACATTTTCTTGCATATTAAGCATAAGGGTATACGGATGTGAAAGCACCTGCTTTGTTAAACTATCTGGCTAAGAACTATTCAATATAAAAGAAACAATAATACGGAAAATGGCCCATTAAACACAGATACACAGACCTAATAAGCAGGTGGTAACAGAGACAATAACAAAGACCCCAACTCAGCTCAGCCTCGCTACTGGCTGAACCGGCAGATGGGAACAGCAGCAGCTGCACCGTTGGCCCGGGACGGAGAGGCCTCTGGGGTCTCAGGGCAACCAGCTGGGCTCCAGTGGCTGGGGAGGAGGAATCCCTGGCATCCACTGGATTTGGCAGCTTTCTTGACATCCTTAACATTAAGCGCTAACTGCATCTTTTTTAAAAAAATTGCAATACCTCTCCCCAAAACGTTTTTTTTAATCCATCCAACAAGTTCTAAGTCTGCAAGAGACTCCAAAACACAGTCAATGCAGCAAATACACACTGCTCAATGACGTGGCCTCTATTTGCAGTGGAGAGGAGCAATGGTACAAATCAGAAACGATGCTGTCCATTCTTCTGCTTTTGGTTTCTTTACGTGAGGAGAAAAGAGAGAGAGAGAGAGACAAAACGTATTGCAAAGTCTGACAAGCCCGGAGGACAGGAACGATGAGACGGATGGAAACAGCAGCGCAACATATGATTCTGTGTATAAACTGTGACAAGACCATCATGCACGGTGTTAGGCATTAGGTAAGACAGCATAAAAATCATACCATGGCTAAGTATTGCAATACTTAGATACTGCTAAGTACTGCAACTCCAACAAGGCCAGGGTTTCATCCACAAAGGCAAACCTGGAGTCTGAACATACTGCATTTGTACCTAGTTCTTTAGTAAATAACGCTAATTTATTCGTTATTCGCTTCCTCCGCAAAGCCCCAACCTTGAAGCTTTATCTCCTCGGTTAGATATAACAGTTTTCAGTTATTATCTGAGTTTCCAGGGCTTCAACCACCCGCAGTATGCGAACTTGTCTTCCTTCGCTGAAAAGTCATGCCAATGTTACAGCCTCAGCAAGCCAAGCTAATTTACTTTGTTTATTCTGGCAACGAAGCTATCAAAACTTAACATGCAGGCAAAGCTGTGCACAGGCGGGGCTAAATGATGTACGGTCAGAAGTATCATTGTACCTTGATTTTAAATTCCAGCTGGGAGTTAATGGTGTACATCATTTCTGTTCTTTCCATTTTCCGAGCACCTTCGTTACATAAACGCACCAACTAGAAATGAGATATTTAACAGGTTTAATATATTCAGAACTTAAGACAGAGTACTCTAGAAAGTGTTTCACAGTACCTAACTTTCAGAATGAAACTTTTAAAGTATACTATAGTTTAAAGAAAGTCTGCACAGGGAGGGGAGGAGGCAGAAAGCAGAGGGAAAGGTATGAAAATGCATTCCCGTTAACCTCATGAAATGATTTACCAAGAGTCAATGGGCCTTTTCTTATTTTTTAATTTCTTACTTCCTAGGGGGCTGAAAGGAAGAAAGAAATCTGAGCAGCAACCAGTGTAGTGGGAGACAGCAGGCTGAGACTAGAAACAAGCTAACAGGCACCATTCAGGAAGCCTTTCCAAAATAGCATCAAAGTCTAGGAGGACAAAAGAGCTTTCCAGTTTTTCACTGTGGGGAAGTCACCTCTAACTCTGGTGCAACAGTTGCTAAAGAAATGGTCATCAGCAGGTTGTTGTAATTTTAGTAAGTTTTATATAAAAGAGCTGTTTTGTGGTATTAAAAAAAAAAAAACCAATGCCTTCACAGAACAGTAAAACAGTTTCAAGATAACAGAAATACAGAATTACACAGAAACTTCTAGAGAAGAGGATAAAACTAAAAATCTTAGTCCTCTACAGGAGGGTTTTTTTTTGTTTTTTTTTTTTTTTTTTTTAGAAAGAGCCGGTGATAAAATCATTCTTATCAAGGGAGGTTTCCACAACATCTACACATAGAAGTATAATCATCATCAGTCAGGGAGTTTCTCCTCCCTCATCTCCTTTCCAGATTGAACATTTTACACACCATCTACTGTTCCCTCAGTAAAACCCAACTGTGCTGGCGACAGTACAGCGCTACCGAGTTTAGGATTTTTTGGTAAGTATCAAAGAGGATGATTTAAGCATAAAACTGATCCCTAGTAGCTCTTCTTAAACAAAGCTATTTAGTTTTTTTTATCCTTCACTCCTCTTCCTCTTTACATTATTTATGCAAGGAAAATACCAAATTTTCCCTGAAAGCCGAGAGGAATGCCCGAGGCCCTAGGGCAACGTCTAGTCCCAACACGCAGAGAATGAGTTTTTTTAATAAAGAATGCCTAACCCATGACATTTAATAACAGTCTATGACACATTACAGTTGCTGAAACGCTGAGATCTTAAGGCAAAATTATAACTAGCCTTCAGATTTTCTTTTCAAACTAATGTTATATTTTGAAGCGTCTTCCATTTCCAGATTTTTTTTTTTTTTTGGTAAGATGGACAGAATTTCCCACCAATATAAAAAATATCTGGTAATCTGGTTGCTCAGTTTCAAATGAAATGAACTGGAATTTATTATACAATTAAGTGCTGTTGACATTTACAAACCATACATGGCGAATGGACTTGCGCGCTTTTTCCATCTTTGATTCTTGCCAAAAAAGCATGACTCCAGGATAAGAAGAGAACAACTTCGAACAACTGACAGAAGCAGAAATGGTCTACTTAAAACATGCCAAAAGCAGAAAGAACGCTAAAGTTTTCTTAGGCAATTCAGACTTCTTTTCCGTACTGCAGGGTGGGGTTTTTTTTGGCTTCTTATATATACAGTTTTTCACATGGCTTTCTGTTTAAATGACTGGCAGCAAATAGATTAACGTTGGCCAATAACACTGCGAAATAGGTGAACAAAATAAGCAATGAACATGAAAATTAATTATTAAGTGACCAACACAAACCAAAAGCAGCTATTTCTCGCAATGGATTTTTGAAATAACCAAAGCATGCAGTGCAATTGAGGAAGAAAACTCCTCAAAACAGAAACAATTCTGCAGCCAGATTAAATTTTTAGGAACATACCTTGCTCACTTCTTTCAGAGCTTGCTTGCAGTTCTCATATTTTGGTGAGTCTTTAGGAGTTTTCTGACAAATAGTCTGAAACAAAAGGTCCGTTGCTTCAGAGGACGAAGACGCATAAATTGTAACAAACACAGAGTTTTAAAGTATATATGTGCTGAAATCAAAGAGGTGAAGTCCCAGCTGTGGATCAGGTTAAATGAGAAAGCATTAGGTCACTTCCCTAGAGTTCTTCGTGACCCTAAGGAATGTCTCCCTCACATACAGGAGAAAATTACTTGTTTTGCTGCTGGACGCTGCCATTGCCAGAATTTGAGCTTGGATTTTAACACACATTACTGTTGTTAGCTCAGCTCATAAATTTAGTTCTGGCATCTTAACTGAAATGCCACAAATCTTGGTGTGAGCTTTTCTCACAAATTTTCACTTGCACTTCTCTTCATACTTCCTAAGTTGCTGTTAACCTGCAGGGGGTTAGTGCATCCCACAGTGTAACACCCTGGTGGGTAACTGAGCATATAAGCACTGTTCCACTCTAGTAATACTAGGAGCGTCTGTACTCTTACTCCTGTACACAGAGTTCTTTGTTCAGGGTTACACTGTAACTCTCTTAGAGGGTCTCAATGACACTATACCTGAAAATAAGAATTTAATGTGAAAGGGCCCTTATCCAATCTATATGACGGAAAGTCTTTGTTTTTAAACTGTAGGGTTTATTTTTAATCCTAACAGTGTGTGCAATTCCTGTGCTAGCTTCTTCCATGATTTCAGCATCACTGTCACCCTCTACTGTAAAATTTTAAATTAGAACTTATAAATGTTTAAATTTTTGACTGCATGTGCAAACAAATGCTACTACGCTTTGCTGTCAACAGATCAGTATCTACAGCCCCGTAAATGGTATAAGCAAGATAGTATGAAGAGGTTGGAACAAAACCGGAACCGAAGAGGAAAAAGATGCCTAGATTAAAAGAACATGCATGGACACAACGGGGGAAAAAAAAAAAAAAAAACCCTGTTCTCACATCCATCAATAACGGAAGACGAGTAACTCTCTGCATTGGAAGTATGAGGAAAGAGATCATTGGTAAATTCCTGCAATCTTCATGGGACTCAATCCGTGACAACACCTCTTTAAAAGCTGGATTTGTAGCTCTGGTGAGAAAAAGGGAAGGGGGATTAAAGAGAATGCTTTAACAAGGATTACAAGCATTAACAAGCATAACAAGAATTATGAAAGTTGTTTTTTTTTTAAAAATATAAATTATCATTTTATTTCTTAGAGAAAGTGCAGTTTGAGGAATTTATATCACTTAAGCCTTCAACTTTATTTAGACATGGAAGACCAGTACTGACATCTAGAATTCTCGTAGTTTCCCATGCACGCAGGAGTGCAAATATGCAAATACGTAATATATAAAAAAGCATGGCTTTGACAAATTGATAAAACTGTACTTAATAGGGGAAACAGAATTGAACACATGACTGCAAACAGGATTGGACTGTGCAGCCAGGCTTAGTTTCACTCTTAATTACTTCAAAGGAACTTGTGCGTTACAGAAAGCTAGCATGTAGCTACATGCTTAGTTGTAAGCTATAGGTTTTGCACCAAAATACCCCAGCTTTTGGCTCCTACTACAAACAGGATGATTTTGCAATTGTATTTTAAGATTGTTTCTTACAGTAGTTTCTGTAGCGTTCGCTGCTGATAGACTTCATTAGTGCAATATTTTACATATGGATCAAAAGTTGAAGAAGCATGCTTTCCAACTATATCACTAATATCATCAATAAAGATGTTGTTCTGATGTCTTGCTTCAAGTTCTTTAAAGAATCTGCAAAAACAAAAAGAAACTCTGAATTTTACCCCCAAAATAGCAGTTCCTCTCCAGCAACATCTTATGCTTCACCTGACACAGCCCATAGTTTTAATTACCTAAGGACAATTTGAATGGTCTGTGTGAAGGTGAGATCATCCCTCCTTTGAGCAAAACAGTACATAAAAACTTTACACGATACATGTCAAAGGGCGGCAGTGCAACCTGGCAGAGCTCAGCCTAACTAGCGCTCACAAAGTTACTTCCCGTATTCTTGCCGTCAAAACTGAAATAGTGCTACTGATGCGGTTAGACTGGAATTTCCAGAAACAGGGTTGAAAAAGAAATGAAACACCTTCAAACAGAACATGAGCACTACATCATTTCCTCTTGTAATAAACAAAGTGCAATACCAGAGGTGTTCAAGAAAATAAAAAAGTTCCCACCAGGTTAAGCGTGAACTGTTAAACTAAGAACAGAAAAATATATTAGAGACAGAGCTGGACAAGGTAATCATATACCCTATAGTTCAATTTACCATTAAAACCAAATATAGATTGAAAAACAATTAAAACAGGAACAGAAACCAAAATCCCAGGCCAAATCTTTCACCTAAACATGCCTGCTCTGAAATCTTCCCTCTTGGTCTTCCTCTGTTCCGTATCTGAGCTCCTTCGGTCTCTGAGAGCTTTCCACTTCTTTTTGCACTTCTAATTTCACCAGGAAACAAAAGTCTTTGTTTTAACCATTCTCATATATGTTATGGGTGCTTAATAACACGGGTCACCTGAAAGTAAGACCTTGCATCAGGCACGCCTAGAACGAGCTGATTAACAAAGTGATTGACAATGTTCCGTGTGTGTGTGTGTGCGCGCGCGCGTGTTTTAAAGAAGTTCTGTCTGGCACTTACTAATGGCAGATTTAACTGACTGATGTTTATCATTACCGCCATTTAATGGAAAACAGGACAGTGCCTAAAAATAGATACAACATTGCTTACTACAGTTTACAGTTTCTGCTCTCCTTTCCTCTTTAGGAGGGGCAGCAGTACTTTTTAACAGCCTTGCCAATTCTGGGAGGCACAGTCCTCCAGAATCCTTCTATCCTCCATTCATCTCCTTTCAAAGCACGAGATACTGAAAGATGCCACCGGTTTGTTTCATGCTATATATGTGATTTTTTTTAATACCGAGAACAGCACTAACCGGCAAAGAATGCTAAACTGCAATGAGCTCTCCTACAATACATGCACAGCTACTTATATTTAACAGTTGGCTTGACATTTCATTGCAGTCCTCTAGACTTTAACCAAGTCGCACAGTCCACAATTTCTCTTGAACCACAACAGCCAGATTTCAGCTGCTGACCACCATAAACTGCAGACAACAACTGGAATTCATTTCCACTCTACTCAGACATGTTTACAGCTGGAAGAACTTTGTAGCCCACTGCCAATTTACTCTGCTCAGGAAATTAGGAAATGCCACATTTCTTCTTGCTATATTTTATGGCTTGCTGACAAGGCGTTCGATCATGTCGAGCTAGAACTTACACTTCTGAAATTTATCTGGTGCTTCATCAATGACATTATCCTCAAACAGCACAGTCCCATTAGGGAAAAATAAAAAGTCTTGAATAAAAGATTAAAAAAAGAAAAGAGACAGGGACAGTCTCAGCCCTCCTCAAATGTACTGTAAGAACTATTAGCCCCAAAATGTACTATAAGAACTATTAGCTCTGGAAAGCATCCACTGAAGTTTGAATCACAGGGTGTCTTTCTGCACAGCCAATCTGCTCATCACTATATACATCTCAGCAAACCAGATGCATCATAAAAACCTTATACTTAAAATGTTTTCGGTCATAAAGATCAGTACTGATAAATCACAGTCAATTTAGCCAATTAAAAATTGGTTGCAGTGTGTGACTGGCCTTTTGCTTAATACCAGAAGGGGCTATATATAAAGTGTGATGCTTTTAAATCTACAACTTTTCTGTTTAAAGTTGGATCCAGTTAAGTGAAAGTCAACGAGCATCACAAGAGAGTCTGATTTGCTTTATCATGCCCATGTGTTGTTTAAAACAAATGTCAAATTTGTAATACGCTACAAATCTTTCTCTCCTGAAGGCTATGCATGCAAATCTAAAAATGCAAACCTAATTCATTTTCTGCTTGTTTCTTTTATAGCACAAGATGCAGAAACTCCAGAAATCTCACCAGTATAGAGTCTGTCCTGTCTTTATGGCAGGAGTTTCCTTCTTGAAGTTGTGGTGGTTCTTCCTAAAGGTTTTCTCATGTCTTTAAGAAGCCATTAATAGTCTGGTAATCATAACCAGGAACAACGTTCTAACGTTTGCTTGGGCAACTTTTTAAAGCTCATTTTTCCTGCTACCTTGAACTGCTTTAATCTCTGACTGATATCCACAACTTTCTTTAAAAATCTACATTCATTCAGATGTATGAACACAAACGCACAGCAGTGTGCACACAACGCTACGAATAATTTCATATAATTCACCCTTGTAAGGATGCCTCATTTACAACTGCAAAAATCATAAACTTTAACAGCAGTTCTACCTAAACAGATGCAACGAACACCCTGACAAAAATGAATTCTCTAACATTAATCATTTTGGTCGACCTTTCATCTCAACGTTGACCTCCCTTCTCCTCCAAATAAACATATTAACTGAGTAAGCCATACAGGACGTTTAGAAGTGGGAATCCATTTAAATGAATACTACATTCCAAAACTAGATTGCATTGGGTTAGAAAATTCTAATTAAGTAGCTAAAAGAGCTACTTAATTAGGCAGGCCAAAAGAAGAGTCAGAATTTCCTTAAGGAATCAAATCTACTATTCTGGATCAAAAAGCACATAAAGGACAGCATATAAAAGGAATACACAGAAAGGTCAGAGCTCCTGCAGAAAAATCTAAATTGATTATTTACATCAGGGCTCACTATAGACACGTACGGAGTTTGCCAATATTGACACAGAGTCGAATATAACGAGCGCACAAAGAGCGAAAGCTCTTGCTGTGACAAAAGTTCAGAAAGCGGGCAGAGGAGAAGGAGCTGGTTTCCGTAACAACTCTCTTCTTGTTCATTCTCTCTCATACCTACACATCCACATCCTGATTTCCTACTGAAAGCATCATGACAAGAAACTGAAGGCCAAATAAAATACATTTACCTGTGCCCACGAAACCATTTTTTGAAGAGGCTGAAACGTGTGTACTTGTCAGAAATGCACAAGGCTGCTGGAAACCATGGTCATAACAATACTACTTAAGATATTAAAACAAGCATCTCTTATCTTGCCATTAAAACAGGGATGTTTTCTACATTAAAACCAGTATCAGTGATTTATTGACATTATCTGTATTCCTTCCCCAAAGGTTTCTGTGCTCAGAAACCAGAATTCAAAAACACACCGCACATTCAAACAAAAAGAACTGAAACTTGAAGGTTACTTATAACAAGTCAGGCTATTTACCTCTAAATACGTTATATTTTAGACCTTAAAAAACAAAAGATTCTCTCTTCCCTCTTCAGGTACAGCATCCCTGGGGCGTTGAAGTCACTGGGAAGAAGGCAGAAGTTGGGAGTCCTTCAACAGAATTTCCCTTCCCCAAGCTGTACAACAGTGAGCTTTGTAGGGCTGCGGCCTCTGTTCTCCACAAAAGCAGCAGCCAAATACAGATTATGGTTGCTAAAAATCTCAGCTCCTTAGCAGGCAGCAGCATCATTCTATTATAAAAATTAAGGATTTTTATTGCACCTGAGAGAGCACAAAGCTGTTTTTAACTCTGCTGAAGATCAAAGAGGACATGCACAGTCACGGAAGAAAAGCTGATCAGCTCTAGGCTTGAGCAACGTCAGCAATACTTAGGTTCCAAAACTGACCCAGAAGTTTCTGATGTAGCGGCTTCTAGACTCCTTCGCACTGATATTTGGTTTCATACAACAAAACGCCATTAGCATACTTTCCACATGAAAGGACTCAGAGAGTAACAACGTATCAGTGCACAAAGTTTATCTGTCCCCTAATTGATTTCTTCCTAGATTCTTCAGAGCATCCATAACTGGCATGAAATAATAGCTTATTCCTTCATGACCAAGCATGAATAGTGCAAAATTCCCCAGGTGTATTTTAGAGATCCAGGTTTATATGTACATAAATCAAACTGAGCTGATGCTCTATATGAAACGAAATTGAATGAATTATATTTTCCAACTTCCATTTAGATGGAAGAAACAGAGAGAACAAGGTACGTATCAATTAAATGTTGAAGACATAAAAATAAGCTAGCGTAAATCTTCATCAGATACCTTGGCTGAAGCTGTCAATCTTCAGTCTAATAATTATATTTAACATACAGCAGAAAAGACTAACTTTAATATTGACCACATTAACCTCCTTGGCACTGAAAAGTATGAACTCCCAAGTACCAAGAACTAATGAAAACGCATCGTGGCTGCAGAATTTCAATTGCCAGTGCCAAGCTCCTGAGAAAGCACCATAAACTCACTGCCAGGGGGAAGTGAGGAGGGGGGAACCTGGCCTCCGAGCTGGGAAAAAAAAAAAATACAACTTTCTTTTTTGGGCAGAAAGCAACACACAACTTCATGGAAACATGCTGTACATGCTTTACTGGGAATTCATAAATTGTTTGCTAACAAAAAGTAGCATTTGTGATTTTTAAATGCTAAATGATCTCTTCACTGTAGTGCAGTCACTATTTCTTCAATGCAACAGAAATATATGAAAAGCGCTGACTGAAATAATTTGGTCTTGCAGAACATTCAAAGTTAAATGTCTTGATTAAGTACAGCTATAGGCATTTTCTATTTAAGTCTTTAAAGAATCCAATCCTAAAAGATGGTTCATATTTGATAGAACTATCACAAAACCTATAGTATTACTCTATCAATCCTACAAAACGGTTTGAAATGGCCTACACATTGCTCCAGTGCTAGAACTGAGTTTTAAATCATCAGCTGCACGATGCCAG